AGAGAAATAATGGTGCATTTGGTTTTGAATAACTTGGCTTTACCCAACATCTAGATAAGCTTAGCAATGTTTCCTTGAAGCAGTTACAATATGAAGTTACAGTGCAAGAGAAAGCTAGACAGTTTAGATAGATTTGAGATGTAGCAAAGGGCCCAGTGTAAAGGAAATAGGAAAATATAATGTGTCAGTAAGAGGAAGTTTTCTCTTTGCCCCATATCTATAAAGCACACTGAATTCAATTGGAAGGTCAGAAAATTTAGAGAGATGTTTGAGTGGAGTTCGTGTGTGTGTGTGTGTGTGTGTGTGTGTGTGTGTGAAATCAAACCCGTGTGTCTGTGTGTCTGTGTGTGTGTCTGTGTGTGTGTCTGTGTGTTTTAAGACAGTTTTGCTGTGTAGTCCAGACTGGCCTGGAACTGCTGTAAAGCTTTTCTTCCTCTCCTACCTCAGCAGGGTTAAAGTACTTGGATTATTCTCCTTTGGGACTTTGGGTTTTATTTTTTAATATATGTTATTGTATAGATACTGTGCAGAGTACAGAGGGGTTACAGTTACATGAGTAAGGTAATAAGTACATTTCCTATCGAGCATTGTTACCCTCTCCTTTGTTTTGACTTTGGGTTTTAAGTATTTGTGTAATCCTTATACTTCCCCCCTGGTGAGCTACTTAAGTTCACATAATAGCCTACATAGCACCTTGAAAATAGTGTTGCCCAATGAATGATTGCAGAATTAAATGAGTCAACCTGATGGCATAGTGCTGTGGAGTGGATTTGGGTTTTGGGGTAGTGGAAGGTCATGTCATTCTATACCTTTTTAAGGTACATTTGCCCTTCACAAACATTTACAAATTTAAACAAAACCCTAGTTTAATAGAAGAGCAGAGAAGGAGGTGTCCAGGGCTTTGATCTTTTAATTAAATAAATTTTATCCTTTAAGAAATAGGAACTTCAGAATCTGGGTTCAAGAGAATCCTTAAATTTGTGTTTTAATTTTCCCCTGAACTATTTTACTATACGTAACTGCAGTCTTGTGTTCAATAAAGACTGTTAGCGGCAAAAAAAAAAAAAAAAAAAAATTCTTATCCTTGCCTGGGTAATCTTTGTTATATAGTATTTATATTCGTCTATGTAAACATGACTTATTCTTATCAAAAGATTCTTACTGAAAGAGTAGTAAGAGAAACCTTGAAGCAGTGAGTTTTTCAAGTTTGCCATAATGACCTCTTTGAAAGAAAAGGCACAGAATGTGTTTTTCATGCTGTTTTTTAAATGATACATTCAACTATAGACATAAAACCCATATGTTTCTGGCTTATTTACCACTGTAAACCATATCTGTAAATTAAATACAAAGAAAACTACAAAAAATTCAAATTAATAGAATAGTTCAGTGTGACAGATGATGTTTAGATTTCATAGTAGAAAAACATAGCCTTAGGCCTGATTTCATTTTAAATCTGTCTCAGTATTTTATCTTCAGTGACAATAAAAGCTACAAATATAAATGAGATAGTGTTTTCAGTATTTTAACTTTTGTAAAATAAAACCTGCAAGTGCCTGTTCTCATCAGTAGTATTGTACAAGGTGGTATTAATGACTTTTGGGCTTTGTTGATCAGTTTAGGGTAATGAGACCTTATATCTAACCAAAACACTTGCTAGCAAACATTCTTCAAATCTCAGTTTTAATGAGGTGTCATTTTGTTCCCTGGAAGACAGAGCTAGCATTATTGAATTATTAAATCCTCATCAAATGGTTTTCTAAACCCATTGTTGCTGAAAGTGAAAATGGAAAAATGACATAGAATACTTACAGTCACATTCCTACTAATGAGTTTTTTGCAAATTGTATTACCAGGACAGGATTCACAGAAGGCTTATTATAGTGTATATATGTGATATTGGGTGTTAGTCTATTTGGAATTTACCATGCCTGTTTTACTCTATACGTCTTTGATTCAAGTTTTCCCTTGTATCTTTTACTCTGGCAGAATTACTGTAAAGCTTGTATATAATATGTCACAAGGACATTTGGTCTGAATGTGCTCTGCACACAGCTGCAGAAGCAGCAGTAAAAGTTTAGTAACGGTGTTTATTGAGATAGTGGTTACTTACAATCAGAATATTTATCATTATTTTTAGTTTATCTCTGAAATGAAAATGTGTACTTAATTCTTAGTTTCCTCCTCCTTTCTGATATGATTGTGATATGGGAAAGTAGTAATTTAGCAGATACGTTTCTGAGCATTATGTAGGGATTCATAATTCAAAGAATATACAAAACAAAACAAAACATGCCCTTCCCAGGGTAATGTAAGGTACTTTAATGACAAACTATAAATATATGGATTTGTGCTTATCCTGAAGCATGCAGAGGGATGTGGGAACAAATTAAAAGGAGTTGAATAGGCTTTTAAAGGGTGAGAGGCTGAAGAGGGTTTGTTTAAATCAGGCAGAGAGAGGATATATGTAAAGACCAAGGTTATAAAAAGATAGATCATAATAATAAGAAATTTTTGATCCTTAAAAGTCTTTTTATTGGGGCTGGGAAGGTGGCTCAGTGGTAGAGCGCTTGCCTTGCATGCCTGAGGCCCTGGGTTCGATTCCTCAGCACCACATAAGCAAAAAGAAAAAAG